ATTCATGAAGAAGAAGAAGAAATGGATGATAATCAGGTACAACAAGAACTCGAATATGAGTTAGAAGATGAGTTAGAAGAATATGAAAATTACTATTCTGAAGAAAGTACTATTGATGATATTCTTGAAGATTATTATATGTTTCAAGAGAAAGAAGACATTAATCCTACCCTATATTTGACCGAATATCTTCACAAGGAAATCAAAGTCGATCAACTTTTGCTCAACAAAGCTCAGAGACAACAAGTTGACGAAATATTTGCAGAATATGCTAATATATTTGCTGAAAATATTTTAGAAGAAGGACAAACATTAGAACTGGAACAAACTACTGAAGTGGTACATGAAATCAAGACCGGTGATGCTAATTCAATCAAGCAAAGAGCCTACCAAGTTGCGCCTAGTGAAAGAGAGTTTCTACAACAAGAAATTACTGCAATGTTGGATAAAGGAATTATCTGAGAATCCCAAAGTCTCTGGTCCTCGCCTGTAGTGATAGTACCAAAGAAAAATGGTAAACGACGACTATGTGTTGACTACAGAAAACTGAACAAAGAAACTGAAAAGGATGTATATCCTCTATCAGTTATTGATGATATCCTTGATTCCTTTAAAGATGCTAAATAGTTTACAAGTTTAGACTTGGCCAGTGGATATTGGCAAGTCGCAGTAAAAGAGGAAGATAAAAAGAAAACCGCTTTCATTACACAAATGGGAACCTATGAGTTCAATGTAATGCCTTTTGGTTTATGTAATGCTCCTGCCACTTTTCAAAGGTTAATGGATAAAACCTTGTGACCCTATATTGGCAAAATTGTAGTAGTATATTTAGATAATTTGACCATATACTCTGACACCTTTGAAAATCATTTAAAACACCTTGCTACTATTTTTGATACATTACAAAAAGCAAATTTGAAAATTAATGTAGATAAATGCCAATTCTTCTTATCGGAAACTAAATTCTTAGGTCATGTTATCTCTGACAAAGGAATTCTACCTGATGAAGATAAGATTATTAAAGTTAAAAACTTTAATAGACCCAATAACTTACGCCAACTAAGAGGATTTTTAGGATTAGCCTCTTACTATCGCAAATTTATTGAAAACTTTTTCAAGATTGCTAAACCACTTAACAAATTATTACAAAAAGATGTCAAATTCGAATGGACTGAAGCACAACAACAATCCTTTAAAACTCTAAAGGAAAAATTAATTTCTGCGCTGATTTTAAGACACCCTAATTTTAACTAACCCTTTTTCTTGCACACTGATGCATCCGAATTAGGATTAGGTGCAGTACTAGCACAAAAAGAAGGCAAAAATGAATATGTCATCACTTATGTAAGCAGAAGCTTAAATAAAGCTGAACAAAACTATTCCACAAATGAACTGGAATGTCTAGCCATAGTGTGGGCTGTTGAACACTTTTGGCAATATTTTGAAACCGCTGTTACAGAATGAAAATATAACAATAAAATAATATTAAAAACACCTGCAATAATAATAACCCTTAAGATGATATTTAGAATTTAATATTAGTTCATGTAACAAATAGTAACAATTTAATAATTACTTTTGACAAATATTTATAG